AAGCACCTGCCATTTGTGCATATGCAGTATTCATATGCCAGCGTGTAAACAATTTTTATTTTATTTTATTTTTTTACCTGAACCTCTTTTTTCGGTACGTGCCTCACATTCCTGAAGTGCCTCTGTAACACGTGGTTTCCCGTTCGCGCCTGTGCTCGGTATAGACATATATATATTGAATACACGTACATTCATAGCTTCGATAAGGTATTTCAGCTGTTTAAGCACGAGAAAGCGACCTGTCATAATGGCGTGTCATGTATGTGCACATGTATCTGTCTGTCGGCATGTGTGTCCAGCTGTCAGAAGCAACGACTAGCAGCTGCCCTTCCCGCAGAGCAGCTCAGACATTAGAAGAACTTGCGCATTCAGCACAGAGAAGCACATATTCACTTTTGTTTGTTCTCATGGGATGCCCAGTCTTACCGGCCTTTATAAAGCAGGCAGGAAAGATTAGAAAAGTCACAGTGACAGATGGATCCCCAAACTGATCAGTGACTGTCACTGTTTCTCACAAAATATTATTTTATATAACTAAATATCTCTATAAAATACAGGTTAAATAATATACTGGATTTGTTTCAGTAGTGACTGACAATAACAACATAACAACAATAAGTTATTTTTTTGCCATGGTTCTATGAATAGCAATGTTGGCCCATCAGTTAACTACTTTGTTTCAAACTGAAATATCTCTTTTTTTTTTCTTAGGACATTTTGTACACACATTAATGATTTGGAGAGGTTGAATCCTTGTGACTTTGTTAATCCCCTCACAGTACATTAGAGATATTAATGTCCCCCTTAGGATGAATTGCAATAACGTTTGTGATCCCTTGACTTCTCATCTAACACAATCAGGTCAACGTTTCTCCAATACTTGGAGGTTGGAGGTTTCTGACCAATACTTGACATTCCCATCAGCCTCAGCAGTTTTTTCTGTTAATTAGCAAATTTTAGGATGATAAATTAAGACCGCGAGCATGGTAAACATTATACCTGCCGAACGTCAACATGTTAGCCATGTCACTGTCAGCATGCTGACGTTAGTGTGAAGTTAGTGCCCTCAGTAGCCTTACAGAACTGCTGGCATGGCGGTAGCCTCTTAAGTCTTATTCTCTTTTATTTGTACATAAAATAGCTGCAGTATTGAAAGCAGTAGCTCACCAAAGGAATCAGAAGAATATGAATGCCAAAATGAAAAGTTGAGTTAACCTCCAAACAAAGTCAGCAGTAGAGCAGGAAATCTCGAAACTAACAGAAAATATGAATATGAAACCGAGAAAATGATTGATGTCTCTTTACTAGTGAGTGATTATTTTCCACCTGGTCTTTGACCCCAGCAAGTATTTAAAATGGCAGTGGTGTTACTGAACATATTGCAAGGTACCAGAGGAGAGGTGATAAGTCTGATAGCTGTCGATTGACTCCAAAGGTCACACTGAACCACTTGCATTGTGGGTGCACATTGATTGAAGTTAATGATTGTATTTAGAGTAAGGGTTATAATAGTTTAAGGTGATTTCATACGGTCCAATAAGTTGCTGAGGGATGACGTGACCTTGTATTTTACAGCTTGTGTGTCCTGAAAAAGATCAAAACAGCATGCGTACAATGGGAACACTATAATGAGGTCTGACTCATGGGACTTGCCTGTTTGAGGTCCATGTGAGGCCTTTGTGAAGAGTGTCCACACACATACTGCTCTGGGTTTGTGATTGTCTGTGCATGTTGTACCCATCTGCATGATGTAGGCTGACGCTGGTGAGTCACAGAGGGCCTCAATAACCCCCTCTAGTTCATTTCCTGAACCCCCATTTATCTCCCCCCCCCGTCTTGCTCTTTCTAAATCCTCGCAGTAGATGGAGACCAGGTGAAATGAGAGATAGAGTTTCTTGGAATCTGACCTGTGCGACTCCACCCACTGTTTTGGTATTTTTCCCATGAAACACACACGATAGAGAGAAAGCAAAAGCAGGTCTGTTTCCTCCTGAGTATCAGCCTTTGTGCTTGTTCTCTCCCACTGAAAACATACCTCTGTTCTCCCATTGATGGGGGACAGAGGAGGGAGGGATGGCAAAACCTGCTGGGCAACTAAGGTATCCATATGCCTCAATAATCTGTTAGCCTGTGTTAGACGCTGCTTGGTAAAGTCTTTTCCGACTGTCCTTTTGTAGCTGCATATGTTCTCAAAAACAGCTGTGACACGGCATGTGCCACATCTGTAGCACAAAGTCACAACATTTAAACTCCTTCAACCACAATTTAGGAGGTGAACTCCCCACAGCACTGGAGTTGTGAAGTTAATAAAACTCTTTATGCCTGAATGGTTTAATAACTCATCCGTGTGGTGTTTTTGTTTTTTTTAAGGAATGAGCGTGCTCGATGGATCAGCGCTCTGGGCCGGAGCGTCAACAACAATAAGTGTCAGGACCGAACCAGTAAGTTCCCACACAAACTCTGACCTCTACTTTTAGCCTATTGCACCACCGTGTGGTGATTTGATGAAAGTTTTTTTTTTTCTCATATGGTTTTAAAACAATTGGCTTGTTAAATCAGATATATTGAAATAAGGCCAGTGCGACTTATCCCCAGTGTTTTATTTGACTTGTCTTTATGTGTTCTTTTAGGCTTCATGCAGGTGGAGGTGATCAGAACTTACACAGCCAAGCAGCCGGATGAATTGTCCCTGCAGGTGGCTGATGTGGTGCTGGTCTCGCAGACTGTAGAAGACGGTACGTTAGCTCTAAACGCCTCTCTTGCCTTTCCACTCACCTTCTTTAGTATTCCTCTCATTTCCCACCTTCCTGTTTTAAATTCATCCTTTCCATGGTGCACTTTTATACGCTCTCTCTGTTTCAATACCTCTGTCTCACATAATGGTCCTTTTATACCTGTTTGAAGATGGGGATTTATACATCTACAAAAACACACAAAGGCCAAAGGTCACTTCCCTTTTGGTGACCATGGCAACTGGCTTTCATGTTAAAGAACAGACAGCACTGAGCATCAAAAGCAGACAGACAGTAAATGCGTAAGGAAACACAGCACATGCTTCAGTTTTCATGTCGATACAATTTTTCCCTCTTAGGCTGGTATGAAGGTGAGCGACTGCGCGACGGAGAGAGGGGGTGGTTCCAAGCCGAGTGCGCCCAACAAATCACGTGCCAGGCCACCATTGAGCGCAACATGCAGAGGATGGACCGACTGCAGGGGTTGGAGACTAATGTGTAAACCAGAGGGCTCTTCTCATCTGTTAAAGAGACCTTTTGACACGCCAGTGACCTGTCTTTTTAAGCACTGAACCCAGAGAAATGAGTTCCGTAACAGCATCAGTGACCTGCCTTCAGGGACCAGGAGGGACCAGTAATGGGAGCTGTGTGGCTGCTGGAGTCCGTACAGTGGGATAAATATGCAGACTTCTGCTCAGCGTTCGCTAAATATCAGGCATGCTGTCTGAATTTCAAGCAAAGACAGAACAAACACAGTGGAAGAACAGAGGTTTCCTTAATTACTGATCGGTCCCTGTGTGGGCGGGATGGCTTGACAGTGGGATCTGTCACATTCATTAATTCTCCGGCTGGCTAGAAAACTTCACACCCAGAGTCACTGCCTTCGACACCCTGCTATATAACAACTGTTGGTGTGAAATTTGTAAATTCTTGTTACTTTTTCAAACATATTTTTTGAGTGTAAGTGATGTGCAATGTAATAATTGAGACTACAGTGCCGCTATAGGAGGTAAAGTAGAAGAAATGTTGAGAAAATGAACACAGCCTGATGTGCGCTCTGTTAATGAGGCTCAGGCGACGTGATCAGGAGCTTTTGCCAGCCACACTGTAACTATGAAGATGCTGATTGTGAAAGTGATAATAAGGGTGGGATTGGCAGCTTCTTTACAGTGTGTGGGTTAGTGTAGAAACTTGTTTGAGTAGAATCCGATGGCAAGTGTAACTATTACAATGATATTTACAAGAAAATACAATCGGGTTGAGCTGCCAAAGAAAATTGTCTGAAGCCTGTGGCACTTTGTGTAAATAGAATAAGTCATAATTATTGGAAAATCTAAAGAATTAGTCATCTGGGAGGTATAATCTCATATGTCATCCATGGGCTAAGCAGAAGGGCCAAGTGTCTCTCCTCTCTACCTTGCAGTTTGTCACTGGTTAATGTCAACACCATGAATCAGACTCTACATTTGTGTCCCAAATGCCATTTTTCTCTCTATCGACTCAATGATTTGGACAGCCTGAAATATCACACACACTTGATGCCAGCCAGAGGTGTGTGTGTATAAATATCCCCCTCAGGATTTATATCTGTGAAGCCAAAATTAATTTGTGTGCGCTGCTGATGGTGAGACCGGAAGGGAGGAGCAGCCCCTGCTTTTAATGTGATTGTCCAGTTTGAGTCATCTTTTTAGTGTTGCCATGCCCAGCCAAAGGCAATAAATGGCTTGGTCAGAGAGTGGTGATAACACCATCTATCAAGCCCACTGCTCTGGCCCCAGACCAAATGACGACCACAACTGTTGAGCTACACGAAGCGAGGTATGACTGTAGCGGGCAGAGCACCCAGCAGGAAGGACAGGAGTATCCAGACGAAGCTTTGCATTTGCACTCAGGGAAAAAATTTGTTCTGTGGTAGCACACATTTTAAGCATGAACTGACGTTTATTTCAATCACTTTCTGTACTTGTAACTATTGTAAATCTTCTGTGTACATGTAAATATGTAAAACAGCCTGAATTCTAACATGTATGTTTTCCAAAATACAGATTTATATTGCAGAAAGTCAACCTTTTTATGTAGTTTAATCAGCCACTTTGAATAAAAGCTTAATTGCTTGGGGACTGTCATGTATTCTCAGTGATGAAGATGACATTTCTTTCCCCTTAGGACCCCTGCTAGATAGACCAAAGAAAATTACTTCACTCTTATCCCTCCAGTAACATTTGGAATTGGAGCCTAGTATGGGAGATGAAGCAAGTAATTTAATGGTACTTTTTATTTATTTTTATTGCGCAGTCCATTAAGTGACATTCCTCAAATACAAGAGCAAGATTCATCCAAACCAGAAATCTACAAACTAAACAATAAACAGCTACTGAGTGTATTTGAACATGGATTGGTCCTTGCAAAATAATGATTGAATAATCAAAAAAAGTCAAGTGCGTAACATGTTCCAGTACTTTTGCGCCCTAGTTTTGGCTTTCAGGAGCACCCAGGGAGCACTAGAATTTCAAGCAACAGGCACCATCAAGTAGGCCAGCTGGTTATCATAAATATCCCAACTAACCTCTGTGTCCAAAGATGTAGCCATAGTCATTTCCCAGGCCCTTCTCTTCATAGCCGGCCAAAAACACAGCCAGTTCCTAATCATCATCATCGTCATCGTCGTCATTGAAGTGAATGTGTTGTCCTCTCGGGGCAGACGCCCACGTTCTGCCATAGCCCTTCGTGCCGCCTGTAGGCTTCTCCTGGGTGGTGATGAGGTCTATGATGGCTGTGATGACAGCGCAGTCTTTGGACTGACGGTTTTGCCAGTCCACAGGAGCAGGTTTACGAATTTTCTCCTCCAACAGAGAATCTAGCTCTTTCTTTAAACTCTGTAGAAAAAAGGAAAAGGGAGGTTAGTAAAATTAGACGGTCCCCAAATAGAGCTTTGATGATTTGTGTGCATACTTCACTTGCCTTGACCAGGTGAGCGATGCGTGCCGGGGATCTGAAGACGATCCACTGGTCCACCGCAACAGTCTCCTGGCCGTCGTCTTTCTGGATTGTGATGTCTCCTCCGAAGAACAGCAGCGAGAATGGGGACACCTCCGTGCAGTCGTACAGGAAGATCTGAGGACACACGTTGACAAACGCGCGACGGCAGGAGTATTAACAACAAACACGCTAACACACTCAGTGACAGGGAGCGGCATCATTATGACACACTGTGCCTGACAGCTATTCTGTGGTGTGGGCTGAAAGTGTCCCATTAGTGAGGAGAGTATGAAATGTGTTTCAGTGCCTCCAGTGTTAGGAGAAATGTCATCTTGCCCTGTCTGTGAATCTCGCTACACTGTTTTCCATCCATTTTCCACCCTGTGTTAAACTGACAGCTGCTTACGCAGAGTGGCTCGTCTATTGATACCCAAAATTAAACACAGCAGAGCCCCTAAACAAATGACAAGGTAAATATTTTTCGCAAATGATTGAACATTCTGAATATTGCATAGAGAAAATAGAAGTGATACTCTATGTAATGCACTCATCTGTATGCACACACTCACAAAAAACGCTTACAGCTAAGCCACAGAGAGTACATAAGCAGCAGACTGTCAAACAAAACCTATTTCAGCTTTGAAGGTAACAGACGGAAGATTTGAAAATGAGCGTCAGAGAGGTAGAAACAGCGTGGGAGTGGGTACGAGACAAGAGAAGCAAGGAGACAGCAGGGACACCTGCATTTGCCCCATGAATGTGTAACGTAATGGACCACCAGGGGCAAGTGCGTCAGAGGAGATGAAGTTTAACGTCATCCCTCACTTCCTTTTCTTATTTTTCCCTCCCTTCTACGGCCCTGTTCTTCTGCTTCTCTCTCTCAGTAAACAAATGACCTTGATGATCTCACACTCTCAGAATACCTCACTTTTATGATAGACCCAAATGCGCAGCAGTGTGCACAAATTTACTTACACACTACAAAGAAAAGAAAAAACATTTAATGGTGGCAATAATGAAGGTGAAATCCAGCACAACACTTTTCTCCATAAAGACGAAGGCAGCAAAATGAGAGACAAAGGCACAGGCAGCAATCAGAGAGGACATGAAAGGTGTTTTTCTACAGAATGGTAACATTCACAAAGAGAGACGGCACAGAAAGAACAAAGACAGACAGATGGAAGGGAGGGGAAAATCGGAGTCTGAAGAGGGGCAAAAAAAGAGAAAGAAAAAAGCGAAAGAGAAAAAGATAGAAAGAGGAGAGAGGAGATAGGGCGGCAGTCAGGGAGCAGCATTGACCGTTTTGTCCCCCCACCACCACCTCTTACATTGTGTCTGGAAGCTTTGAAGCACAAGAGCCTTTGAGAGGGAAGTTGAAAGGCAGCGTTTTAATCAAATATTCATTCAGTGTAAAGCTGGCGTGGCACCACTACCAACCTTTAACCACTGGTCCCTCTTTCCACTCGTATACAAAATCAAAAAGAGACAGCAACACAACACGCAAATGTAAAAGCCAACAACATACATTAACAACAGCACTGAAACAGCATAATGAATTGCCTCTCGCCTACTCACACTGCTTGTTCTCATTTTGAGGTGGTAGATGAGCCATGTGTAGTTGAACTCCGTCTCTTCAGCGTTGACGGATTTCGGGTGGATACACACCTTTCCATCAGCCTGGGTGTACACCTTGGGTCTGAGAAAGATCAGATGTCAGGTCACATGCCTAAGACTTGAACAAAAGCATTATAGTTTATCTTTTAATTAAACCATTTTGATAACCGCTTAATTGTTTAAGTCATTTATCAAGCAAAATCAAAAGACCTCTACCTTCATCTAAAACAAAACACGGAATTTAAAGTTGACACCTTCGACAAAAATAATCATCAGGAAAAAAAATATTTAAAATAAAAAGTTATTTGCAATTGCTAATTGAAAAAAAAAAGTGATGGTAGACTTGCAACAAATTTACCGCCACAGTTCACTGCAGAACATGGAGACGACTTCTAGTCACTGAAGGGACTCTAGAGACTTTTCAATAGTCAATAGTCAATAGTCAAGTTGCATTGTGGGTAATTTCAGTGCTAAGCGTTGACGAAAATGAATGCCTGGAATAAAAGAAGACATCTCGGGTTCTGCTGCAAGTGTTCAATGTAAAAGTACTTTCTAGTATTCTTCAAAGATGAACAGAGATTTTGGTCAAATTAATTGCACAATTTCCACATCCACACAGGCCTACTACAATACATGTGTGCGTTTGTATTCACATGTTGTTGCAGACGATGTGTGAACATTGATCATTACCCAATTAAATTTTGTGAAAATGAATCTGAAAGTAGCTCTAGAAAGAACCCATCATGTGCTTTTGGCTTGTTAATACGATTCACAAGAAATGCCTCCTGCCATTTTGGCACAGGGGGTACCACAGAGAAATTGTCATGCAGTCGACAAATTATCTCTAACATGAAAGTAACATCGTGTTCCAAACTCCTGCGAGTCAGCCAGACAAAACCGACTGCTTGACTGCAGGGAACAAGCTGCTTGTACCAGACAGCAGTCTGATTTAACGGCAAAACAAACAAAAAAGTGCTTCATTGAGCAACAAATTCATTAAATACTGCAAAGCTGTGGTGTGGACATGTGAAAACCTACAACTGGCTTAGCATCACAACTGTGAGAATTACTTATGCAGAGGAAATGACCCTGGTAATTTCACTGTGCAACTGGGTCTAAAGCTGTCACTGAGACAGACAAACAAAAGTGACAGCCCTACTGTGAGAGAGCGTTCGTCTGTCTCCCTGCTGCGTGCGTCTGTCTTTTGCACACAGGTCACAGCCACTGTCTATGACAGCTGCCTGAGGGCAGTTTTATGATGACTGCATTGATCTTCAGCTGCACAAGCACCTCTGTTTGACAATTTTCCTAACATGGTCTCTGCACAGCCTCAGGTAATTGTCACAGGACCCTTACAGAACTCTTACCTGAGAGGTCGGATGAGATATTGCAGTGTGAAGGCCATTTTTCTGTCTTAAGATCAATAAGAATGATTGTGCGCTTCTCTATCTTATGCTGTGCAGCCCTTTCCCGTCTGTCTTTGTTCATCTCCCTCTTTGAATTGGCAGACTCACCCTGGCCTCTTTTTGCTGTGAGATGGTCTGATCATTGCCACCTTAGGGTACAGGCCAGCTACAATCACCGCCTTGATTAACTTCTCATTGTCTGAGGAAAGAAGTTTCGTTAGAAGAAGAAGAAAAGATGAGCTCTGCAAGATGTACATGTCGCACATAATATTACTATTACTGCTCCACAGTTTGGTGTCAGGATTCATAAGAATGAACATATTCTGACTGCTGAAACACAGACAAAAAACTGCTCTTAACTTACCTGAGTTGACGTTAGATTTGGGGTCTTTGGGGTCTTTGCTGCTGACAAAGCCTGCATGCATTAGATGCTCAGCAAACTGACCCTTCATGTTGTGCAGCATCTGAATGATAAAAGGACAAATGACTTCTACAGAGGCTGCATGTCCTCATCCGCTCAGACAGAAATCAACTTCAAAATGTAATCATGGACTACCCCTGGTTTTATTTTCAGAGCACTTCAGCGCAGCACTCACAATCAGCCCTGGCTCACCTGGAGTGTATTGGCAGACAGGAAGTTGTCCCAGCAGTACTCCCTCTCATACCTGGAACCGTGCTGCTTCGCTTCCTCCCAGCCCTAGCCAATCAATGGATGATAAATTAAGACAGGATCAATTTATACAGCAGACAGAGATCAAAAGAAAATTGACAGATGTGGCCCGTTTTACCTGGAAGGCATTGACAATAGTGAGGTGGTCACTCTTGGAGTTTCTGGACAGGATCCTTCTCCTCATGTCTGCCATCTTCTCTTTACCCTGAGAGAGGCACATGCATTAAATAATATTTAAGACCGACTTTGTAATGAAAAAAGTCAGAAGGTAGAGTGCAGCAATGTGTTGGAAGTGTGCATGTGTGTCGCTGCAGACATAAGCTTTCATGTCTGCGACCTCAGCGCCCTACCAGGGGTATGAAGAAAGGGTCTTTGAAGCTGAGTGAAGCAGCAATGGTGAGTATGGGGTCGAGGCAGCCCAACAGAGCCCCGAACAGGATGAGTTTGCCAATGTGAGGCTCCACAGGCAGACGAGCCAGGTGGAAACCCAGCGCTGTCAGATTCTCTGCACGGTCCAGGGCGTTCTAACAGACAACATGCACACATCGTTGAGCTCATGACGGGGTGTTAATAAAAGACACAATGAATCCATCCAAAATTCGAGCAGCGACGCTCCAATAAAGTGTGAAAAAATTGGTTGGTCTTGCTTTCAGTCATGTAGCCACGTTCACAAAGGTGAGTTTCATTACTCTCAGATTTAAAATGCAGTTTCCTCCTTTCTGGCTTTCACTGTCTTTTCATCTTGTTAGCATGAAATATTTCTCATATTCTTATTAACCCTTCTAATAAGTCCTGAGTTTTCTGTTGGCCCCCAGTTCCCCCCCCCAATCTCCCTTCTCCACTAGAAAGAAAGCTACAAAAAAGCATCCTGGGAACCAGCAGATGCGTACATAATGCTTCCAGACAGGGGACCTTGAAACAACATGTTCAGGTTAAGAAACCATCATTTATAAAATCATCTTCCTAAAATGATACCATTTCCCAAATGGATATTGTGCTTTTGTTTTTGCACTGTGGATAGAAATAGTTAATTAGCTGAAGCTGAAACAATTCAAAGTCAATTAATTAACTGGGTGCTGAGCAGAAAATTAATACCCAACTATTATGATAATCAATTAACCACTTAATTGATTCACCATTTCATAATTTTTGAATTTTTCAAGCAAAAAAGACCAAAATTTCAGCTCCCCCAGTTGTGAGGATTTGCTGTTTATTCTCAGTCTTATGAGATAGTAACACGCTATTTGCAGAAATTAACTTTGATTTTAAGAAATTGGGGGGTTTCTTAACATTTTCTGTTATTTTATAGAGCAAAGAATTTATCCCCTAATCCACAAAATAATCGTCCAATTAATTAATAAGACATAGGACACGCATTGTTAGCTGCACAGCGAAAATTAATTGTTGTTCCTCGTTTGTTCTTAGCCTGTATTAAACATTTTTTGAAATCATATTTATTATTTCTTACCAGGTCTACAAGGTTCTTGATGGCTAGGTTGACGGCCTTTTCAGTGGGCGGGTCCAGCGCTTTCTCCAGGAATCGAACTATAGACCCGAGCTTCAATATCTAGGCAGCACACATCACATTAAATTACACATAAATAAGCAAAAGTATCTCATTATGAATACATTCCCCTTCCCCTCTCTTTGTCTAATGCTTGTCATTTGTGGCAAACACTGAATTGTGGGAAATAGATATATATAATGAGGGTCTACTGCAAATAGCTTGATGTGTCTTCTCATGGTTAGCTCATATTGCCGTTTACAAGATGTATGTGACAAAGCAACCAACACTGTGTAGAGTTAACCACATTAACATTCTTCTCTAAGGGCTCAGCTGAGCACAGAAGTAATGTGATAGCCACAATCCCTAAATGTGCATTCAATTCCACATCAAAAGATTTCTAAATGCACCAAACATTTACCGGTGACAAAGAGTAAGGAAGCGACCACATTTCTATCTCTGACTAATAGGCTGGTGTTGGAGTGTTTGTGCATTAGAGAGTCTGCTCAGGGTTAGCATGTTGTTGGTGTTTCTCTCACTTTAAGGACAGACTGATCCATTAGTCTGCCTCTCACCCACTAGCTTCAAAAACCGCATTACACACATACTCAAATACATCCTACTGAACCAGTGGAAGACACACACTCAAACAGTTAAAGTATAAAGCCACTGGTGAGAACAATCATCGCAAACACTAGATCTGAGTGAACTATGGCTTAATGTTCCATTAGCATTGGTTGAAATATGTCTGAGTGGAGTATGAGGATTTAAAAAGAGAAAGCAAAAACAGAAGAGGGGGGTGAGGGGGAAACAGTAAGCAACCAAAGAAGAAAGCGGCTGTTCATGTTAGAGAACAAGGCCCAGAAGAGGAGTGATTATGTTGTCGGCAAAGAGAGAGAGAGAGAGAGAGAGAGAGAGAGAGAGAGAGAGCTGGAGAGCAAGGGGGCATGAGTCAGCCCAGAATGTTCATCCCTAGTTCTCATTAGGCAGGAGAAGCTGCAATTCAATGGCAAAGACCAAAAACAGTGCACCCCCACCACCACCACCACTACCTCCCCTCCCCTGCACTCACAAAACTCATTCACAGCAATCTTGTCCTCATCTCAACTCCCAAGCCAACACCTATTTGTCTCGCTCCGTCACTCTGTCTCCCTCTTTCTCTGTGCATACACAACCTTGATCTGCAGGCACAGCTCCTCCAGCGGTGTCCTCATGATTTCGGGTAACTGATAGGCATCGAGCAGGCTGGCCCTGAGACCATTGTACAGATGATAGCATTTCCCTGGGCACACTCTGGACATATGCACAGAAAGGTGTGTGGTAGAGAGGGGAAGAAAAAAAAAAAAAAAGGTTATGTCTTATATCAGTCCAGTGACAAGAGCTTAAGCTAAAATTAATGGGATGAAACTACACTCAGTAAGCAGCTCCTGCTAATTGGGCCTCGCTCCACTTTGATGTCAGGGCTAGAGTCACAGACTGGAAACAACCTGGGAGTGACTGCACTTTGCCTTTCTCAGTGTTTACAGATGGGAAGACTGACAGAGGGCTTAGATGACAAACTGAAGGAAAAAAATAATCCTCACAGATTAAGTATTGCATACCCAAAGGCACTACTATACAGCACGCCTGCATTATTAAAAAAAAAAATGTCCACAAATCCCCCTGTGTGCAGACAAACCTGCCGGCACGCCCTTTCCTCTGTTTGGCATTGGCCAGGCTAACCCACTCCGCTGTCATGGTGCTGATGTTGTTGTTGGTGTCAAAGTTGGTCTCCTTAATCTTGCCTCCATCTATCACATAAACAACGTCATCTATGGTGATGCTGTGAGGAAAAGGAGAGAGACAAAGTAAGGGAAAGAGAGAGGGAGGGAGAGAAAAAAAGAGGGCTGGAATAAAGACCAAATCAGACAGAAAAAACACTTCAAAGCAGTCTGTCAAGAATGCTTAGCTAAGACTCGCACACACACAATCATTCAGAGGTAAAAATAAAATTCAGCCCTTCAGAAGGTTTAGAGTCTATATATAGTGGAGTGACGTGAGGGGAGTGCAGGCAGCTTCTTAATTTGCTCAGTTTCTGTGTGTGCGAGGCTCTGTGAATGCATTAACAAATTGCCTGTCAGAGACTCAGTCTGTTCCATCCAAGCCAATATGACAGTGTTCATAATCAATCCAAGAAATGTATGCTAATTAGCTTCAAATCCAAATTTCTATTAATGACTGGGACATACTGCATTACACTTTTACACACAAACACACTCACACACAACTGAAAGTGTAATCGCTTTTTTTGGTGCTTTTTTCCAAACTTACCAGAAAGTAACAGCCAAAAACACATTTTCAAAAAAAAAAAGTAAAAAGTAAAAAAAGTATGAAAACTGGACAACCAAAACAAATACACATTCACACATATACCTGGTCTCAGCTATATTGGTAGCAATCACAATCTTTCTAACTCCAGGAGGAGGCCTTTTGAACACCTGAGAAGAGTGCAAGAGAAAGATGAGATTGGACTTTTCTGATATTGGAAAGGGAACAATGACACAGAAAGACACAGTCCGAGAGACAGAAGAGTGCTGACCTGCGTCTGATTAACAGTAGGCATGAGGGAGTGCAAAGGGATGATAACGAATCGGTCTGAAACACAAACAGGACACAAAAGAAAAAACTCAAACAAAGCACCGTTTGGCAACATGAGATTCTACTGCTATTGCTTGAGGCTGCACGATAATTTCTAAAAATATGACCTTGAATATCCTCGTAAATATTCCGAGAATGAAATTATTTATAATAATTATTTTTTCATATTATTATAATGCCATGCACTATGTACAGAAAACGGACTCTACTATGACATAATACGTGAACCCAAACCTAACACTTACAATTCATTTTTCTTTAAAAACCCATTCAATTTAAAAGATCCCCTCCAGTCATGTTCTTTGACTTCATACAAATACTCTGCTTGGAATAATAATTTCTGTTTGATTTGCGTTTCAACTAAAATAGTCCTTCCCCATCGTCTAAAACTCCTGAATCTACGAGCATGCAAATATTGTTCAATTAAAATGTCAGACAATAGTGACATTGCCAATCTCAGTTTCCTAATATCCAATACATTTTCTATCAGCTAACTGAGCTGTTGCATATTTTATGCGTGCATGTCAGAAAATTGTACATGTATGTGTTAAGTTGAGCACAGATAAACTTGCTCCCGTCAGCAGTATGAAAATAGTCTTCTACTGTCAAATTCTGCACTTTATCATTCTGTACAGTAAAGCTCAGACATCCAGGTAAGGTAACACTACGCAAAACAATTTTTTTTTAGGGAGGACATCACAAATCAGAAATAGTGATCTCTTCTATGGTTAATTCATCTTCAAGTCACTGGTATTCACTTCCATGTCACACATACAATAAACACTGTACGTGTGTTGCCGTGTGTGTACCTGATCGGAACATCTGCTGAGCCGTGAGCAGGTCATTGAGGTTGCTGATGTTGTCCCAGCCAGGCAGAAACACCAAGATTGCTCCTTCCTGTCAGATCAGACAAATACATGGCGCAACACTTAGCAGCTGAAAGACACACACAAAAAAAACCAGCAGAAGAAAAAAACAAAAACAAACTGCCAACAGAAACAAACAGCCATTAGCCGGAGAAGCCTCTGCAACAACTGAGCCAAGTGAACAGGGTGGCTGTGTCCTCGGAGCCAAAGCAGATGGAGACGACTTGCCCTGAGCTCCCAACCTCCACAATCAGCCACACAAAAGGCTCTGACACTGCCTGCCAACATCATTATGACAACATCTTACCACTACAGCACAGCCTCTGCCTCACACTACCACAGGGTAAGACTTGATTCACTTAAAGCAGCAAAAAAAGAAAACCAATTAGTCACCTGGAAAATATAGAGACCCACAAATACAAGCTGAGAAAACATCAGCAGGATAACAGATGATGGTGGCTAATGGAGTTGGAGGTATTCCAGTGTGAGCAAATCAGCTGTCTGACAATGGCTGCGAATGGCTGACTGCTTAACGTACAGTAGGTGACAGCCCTTCAGCCATAAAAACAACATCCCATACAAATGAGATAAAGACAACTGATGAGGAGTAACTCTGTTATTGTGGCAGCAAAGGGTAGGATACAGAGAATACTGTAATATAGTGAATGCAACTAAATTGCACAACATTTGAAAGAGATTTACAGGTTACAAAAGAGGCTTGCGGTTTTGTTAAATTATAAGTGCCAGAGCAGGCGTCTGCATTATGAGATATACAGAACAGATGTACAAAACAACTACTTAGGGCTGGGTACCATTTTATAGTGCCTCAGTTTACCAATCCTCAGGTATCAATACTATCTTTCACTTCTCAGTGCAAATCAGTGTTTATTGTAACACAACACAAGTCTCCTCATTTCCTAATTCAGGACAGGAAATAGGAAATATCCAGCTCTATGATTATGAACTACTCACATAATCAAAGTCATAAACAAAAACAATAGCGGGTCTTGAAAGGTGTTAACTTTGTGACTAATGTTTGACACAAATATGAAGCAATTTATGATTCACACATGCGGATTAGATTGTACAAAGCAGTCCAGGGCAGCTTCTAAAGACAATGTTGTATGCACCATGCTGTCAAAGGTCAGGAATATAAAGACCAATAATAATCTGAGAAGCTCTAAACATTGGAGTTCTGAGTATAATCCAACGTATGCTATCATCACGGGGGAAAAGTTTCTGAAATGCTATTTCATCACATCAAAGACCTAAATTTAAACAAAAGTTATTCTCAGGATAATATTAAGCTGCTCTAAAATAACCCATTCTTTAAAAAGGAATCTTCTAGTTATTCATTTCCTGAGAGGAATGAAGGGGAGATGAAGAACATACATAAAAAAGTAGCTTCTGGGCCCTGAGCACCCCTGCCTTTTAATTAAAGCTAATTATTATTACCAGTGCTCAACCACTGGCACCCACATGGGACTGCATTTGTGTGTGTGTGTGTGTGTGTGTGTGTGTGAAAGAGTGAAGAGGAAGAGAGAAATGCAGGCAGTGTGCCTAGTTACAACCTGACAGAAACACATGTTCACACACATGCAGTACAGACAGAGGGGCTCTGATTAATTCCAACTAAAAATCAAGTAACAGCACAGAGAGCTCTGTAGTGTTGACCTACTATTTAACACACACACACACACACACACACACACACACACACACACACACACACACACACACACACACACACACACACACACACACACACACACACACACACACACACACACACACACACACACACACACACACACACACACACACAAGCAGTTGCACCCAGCAGGCGTTCATTAGTGCCTGCATGTCAACCCCCTAGGTGTCAAATCACAGACCCCTGCAACATAATTAACCAATCATCACAGTCGAAATCCTGGCAGACGGCCCGTATCCTCGGTTCAGAACGCCGTCGCGGCAAGTCAGCCAGTTCCCTCTCGTCCGTTTCACAATGCCACGGCGAATCAGCTGGTCGACTGGCTCAGGGTGGCCGTGACTGATAGAGATACGGCTTCATATGGAAAGGGATAATTATTCTGTCTATCTGCGTTAGTCACTCCTCATTTTGGGCCCGTCTTTCTTCCTCTCTCGTATATATTTTTTCCAAACACGGCTACAAACTAACAGATAAATTAAACTAGCTCCGCTTGACTTGGAAAATGGCTGGGAAAGTGAGTGCGTCAGTTTTTTTTTCCTTCCATCAATTCTAGCACTGATTATCCTCACCCTCATTATTCTCCTTTTAACAGTGACTGAATGGTATTTATTGTGATATTCTATTCCATTGTGGAGCTCTGTATCACACATGTTGGCACTAGCCTACATTACTCTCTGACTAGAAACGGTTGAGAAACAGAAGAAACATACTGAAAATACAACTTTGACTGAAAGTTACTGAAATAATTTTTGGCTCTACCTTCACTTCGTCTGCACTAATAACTCCTGATAGGAGTAAAGTTCGGCGATGTGTTACTGGGTCAACTGAAAAAGTAAAACATTGACAGAAAAAGGCAAGTTTAGTCACACTTAGCTGTCATTATACTCCACATTATCAAAGTCGGAATTGAGCACAGAAATTACATAAAAACGAGGAAATTTAAGAACTGGAATGAGAAAGAAGGGAATAGATGTGCGTTGGGAGAGCATCTGTTCAATCACTCATTAGCACAGATCTTCTGCCAGGATCTGTGTTATTTCCTCTGATCTAATGTCGCTCTGTGTTTGGAAGCTAGCCCTCATGTTCCTTCCATCTGCTCTACCTACGAATGCACTGCACTTCCCTCCTTTTGTCAGTTTCTGCGTCTTATTTTATCTGAAACCATCTTCAGCGTGGACCACTGCTCTGTGGGCCTGTCTATGAGCAAAAATGGTGCTGGATTTTCAAGTCCGTGAACACTAATCTTAAAATATATAAGACAAGTTTCAGTGACACAAGCACTCTGGGTTTTTACACTTCTAAGACCCAGAGAACAAGTTCCTTACAAAATTTGATTACATTTTTTTGCCACTTTCAGACGGCTGCCCTGAAACCAGACATACAAGGTTACACTCACCTCATCATTCAGCACAATATGGCGAATCAGTGAAACTATCAGCTCCAGATCAATCTTGTCATCATTGTCCAACATCTCCACTGCCTCAATGGTGTTATCAGAGTATCTGTAAAACACGGGACACAGACAATAAATAATCCCCTTCTTCAAACATGGAAACAAAACTGCTGCCTAACTAATTGCTTTGGCTGTCACATCTGTGTTATGGCTGCAAGAACATTATGTTTTTCTCTGGATGTTGCATAAAGGGATGTATGGCAAATTATCTATAATGCTTAATATGTTTCTCCATGAAAACAGTTTTGACCAATACTTATTATGAATTGTATTGGTAATCTGGACATCTACTCCTACTAAGGAAATCCTTTGTTTTTTTTTACCTAAATGTAATGTCTTTATTTCCTAGCTTTAATACCAGGTTATGAAGCTGCAAATTATTTTGTCACAGATATGTCACAGTTTCCATATTTTGTCTTCCATGTCCTTGATTTGGAACTGACAGGTCATTAATGGGCACATCAGAGGAGAGGAATGGGCGACTTGTCGATGTCTGTGTGGTGCTGAGAAGCACAAGGACTATATATATATGTATATATATATATATATATATATATATATATATATGTGCTTTTTTTTTTTTTCAAGGATAGTTTTACAGTTTTCTCTCTCTTAAATCTCTCTTAAACCAATAGGCATGTGTCCATATGAACAATGGAACAGCTTTTTCTTACTGTAATCATTTCTCCTGTTCATACCAGCCATTAAGAGATCCATTCCTAATGAGATTTCAATGTAAGTGAAAGGACACAAAATCCACAGCCCTCATTCTGTGAATAAATCTATTCAAAAGTTTATCTGAAGCTAATATAAGGCTTTGTTTCAGCTGTCCATGTTAGACATATCGAGCGCATATGGCTTCCAAAGCACCAGTCTTGCTCCTATCTCTCCACTGCAGCTCAGCAACGAAGCACTATCAAAGGAAACAAAACAGGGAATTTTGTACTAAAAAAACTAAAGATAATCCTGCAAGATACCAACTTGGTTTGTCTAATTCAGACTGCGAAAATCTGTGTTCATATGGGCACCTGACATATGCCTTAAAGTCAACGCTAAATGGGCCCTAACCTTACACTTTCCACTTAAGCCTGAATTACAGATGGGCATCAAGAACAAACTGTACCGACAAATAATAAATAAATAAATAAAGCTTCTTGAATCTTGAATACAGCGAAGGAAGGCGGTGTGGGTGCAAGCAGTGTAGGAAGATCTACAGTTGTAGGCAGAACTGTAGATCTTCCTACACTATTAATACACGTGCTGTGTGGTCAGGTGGTGCTGGGGTCGAATACACTTTCTACAGTATTGTTTATATTCTATTGCATTCACTTCGAGACAAAAAGCAGTAATAATGGTGGCAAAGACAAGGGACTACACTGCAAATAGCTGTACTAAATGAAGACGAATGTTTGTCGGGTGTTATTGAAAAGAGGATGACATCTTAAGTGGAGCTGGTCTCCTGAAGAATATTGAGGCAGATGCAGGAGGGAAATCTGCATCAAAAAGATTCAGTGAGTGCAAAGTGGCAGATTTGGAACAGTATTTGTATAGCCCATGTTACGTACACATGCAGTTATATTGTTTAAGAGGGGCAAATAAGCAATAACATTGCCTTTTTTGTACTTAAGGACACTGCAACACTTCATTGCAGATGTATAAATCAGTAGTTATGTGATAAATCTATCAAAGGGTCAAGTGTTCCAAAGCACTCATCCGGCTCTGTATTCAGCTTTTATACACTCAGGTTTCAACTTGAAGTTCAATTTCACAGAGAAAACGGAGTTATTTATTTAAAAAATGTGAATGTCATAAAGTCAACTCTTCCCATTTCCCACCTAAACAACTCATCTATCAACCTGGCAGCTGCTCTGCCGATTTACCTACCCTGCTGTGCTCAGTAACTCACCTGCCCTGGAGTGTGCGTGCATACGAAGGCCAGCTCTCCTTGTATTCAGCCTCTTTCTCCTCTTTCTCAGGTCTGGAGTTGCGCCCCTGCCAAAAGCCTCTCTTCCATGTGGGGCGACGGTCCTGATTCTGGGGATGATATCTGACAGACACACCACCAACCAGTTTATATAAGACCCCATTAGAAAAAAAGTGATATAGTGGTACCATTTGTGTCTGTGCATGTTAGGGCGTGTCTTTGTATGTGTATGTGTGTGCGTGTCATTGTACCTGGTCATCTCCAAAATGTCCTCAAGGAGGAACTCTTCCACTGGAAACGTCAAACCAGGGATGTGGATCATTGGACAGTTGTCTAAACACAGGGAAAGGGGTAGATGAGAGGGTGCAACAATCCAAACCTTAAACTGCAAGATTAAAGCAGTTTGTTATGTCATTTGGTGGGTTGCATACCAAAATATCTAGAAAACTTCTCTGCGTTGAGCGTGGCACTCATGAGAATGATCTTGAGGTCGTCTCGAAGGTTGAGTAGGTCCTTCACAATGACGAGCAAAACGTCAGATTGCAGGTTCCGCTCATGGATCTCGTCCAACACCAGGTGGCTGATACTGGACAACAATCTGACACAAAAAAACAAAACATGAATGGCTTGTTTCCTTAACATTTTGCTGCATAATTCTTCAACCATGAATGGTAGATGCTTTCTTTCTTTATTTCTACAGTCTTTGGTTCAAGGCGTAGCTATAATTAGAGCTCACAGACATTTCCACCGACAGAGATTCGCCACTAATTTGAATTTCTGGCAAACAAATGCTTTTCCTCACTTTTCAAACAATGTAATCTAATCTAAAATACTTAAAGTTGGTATATTAGATATTTAGACAAGCCCAGTTGTTCAGTCTGACATATTTAATATCTTCTAAACTAGAATATAACAAAAATACTTTGTGTTTATCTTGTACAGCAGTAGTCTGTGATGATGAGTCAAAAGTGTCTGTCAGACTGAAAATGTTAATTTATTACTAATGTGGTGGCTGGTGACAAATAGTCACACCAAAGTTGACATGTGTAAACATAGCTGCAGTCCATACAGACTGGCAGTTGGCAGGCCAGCTACTGTGGAAATATACCTTTAATGCCAAAAAAGTTGTAGCATTTAGTCAGACAACTGTAGTCCTAAAATGACTCTGACTGGAGTCGTGCCAATTCTGAAAGAGCAAGACAACAGAAAAGCTGGCACGCTCACTTAGTCTCTGTATTTTTTCTGAAGACACTCAGAATGCAAGGATGAGCACGCAGGGATGAGTCAACAGAAGCTCTGTGTGTGTGTGTGTGTGTGTGTGTGTGTGTGTGTGTGTGTGTGTGTGTGTGTGTGTGTGTGTGTGTGTGTGTGTGTGTGTGTCTTCATTCTCTGCCCATGAGAATGGGGACACATACTAATGCTTCTTCCACAGACAGTACAGTCAACCACAAATCGATGGGATAAAACAGAGTGACACAGGGGCAATAAGAGAGTGGAGGAAAGGTAGCCGGATCAGAGACACAGAGGGGGAAAGCAGAGAAGAAGAAGAAATGGTGGGAGAAGATGTAATGAGGATGAGGATGCAGGGATTGGGGGATGGAGGACTCACGGGTCTGAGCGAAGCCACTGAAGAATAATGCCTGTAGTACAGTACAGGACCGAACCTTGTCTCCGTGGTAACCGGCTGAAAAATGGGAGGAGAAAAAAAGACTTTACATTTCCTAAATGACACAAATTAACAGTATAGAGTGAAGACAAAAGGTTGCCACAATCTCAGCTTTCACTGTTCATTTCCCTACATTTTTGTGGAAATGTTAAAGACTCAATTGTCTTTCCAGTATCTACACTCCTTTGACATTTCAGGATTCCACAAACACTTAGTATTTCATAGCAGAAATATCTTAATGCTGAGACACCTGTACACAGAAGTGCACGCAAAGCTGAGACTGATGTTGCCGATACAGAAAATGCTATCTCATAAGTAACTGGCTGCATTAGTCAGTGATGAAAAGTTTCTGCACAGAAAAGACTTCTCATTTATTTTTATCCCAAACAAAACAGAACCTGCCTCTCTTATGACACGTCTGAAAAATGCATTTCACCGACAAGTGAACCACATTAAAAGCTTTACTGTATAATTGATGCCAGGGTGACATTTAATAAATGTGACATTTCTGGAGAAACAACAATAAAATAAAAAGCTTTATGAAGCCCTTTAGCACTGTAACGGGGTTACAAAGTACTTTACAACATCAACAACGCACAATGTAAACAGTTAACAGTAGACCTAATTAAACCACATTGATAAAAACATTACAGATCACCAATAGCCATGATACAACACCATATATAATAAATAACAGTAAAAAGAGTGATAACAGCAACAGTATTTAAAAATGAATAAATATACCATGCATTTTTATTATAAAACTAAAAAGAAAGTGCTGAAGGAGAAGCTTGCCAGAGGCCAGGTGCTATGGCTCGATTAACCTGCTGAGGGGCCTCAGGGCAAACAGGAGCTGCTGGGCGTCTATGAACCCCCATTACTCACGCTCTGTGTGCAATGTCTACAGTTTTTCAATACGACCTGAGGACAGGTTTGCTGTGTGATTATCTGATTAATCACAAATCAATTTAGTAAACATAAACAAAGCACAAACTTACAACTACGTTTTATAACAGGAACTCTCTTTCAAACAGCCTCAAGATAAGGTAATAAAGCTGCATTTAGGGGTATTTAGCCGGTCAGTTCTTATATTGTACTTTAATGGTGCATTTCTCCTAAACACGGTTTGAATAAAATGGCAACAAAACACTTGTTCAAGCAGATAATTTAGCAATAATTAAGAGAAATTCAGGCTGTGTTAGCTTGTATGAGATTAAAAGGTGTAGGTGGGTGTTAATTCAGCGCAATACTAACCAGTGAACAATGAATTTATTCAACCAGAGTAGAGAAGCTAAAAGGGTAAAACAGTTTCTTTATGTTTATTCTAACCAGCCATCATTTGCTGCACTAAAACAGCACCAAAGAGAACACATTCATCCATTCAGTGTCTGCAGGGACTGAGCAGTGTAGACCAATACACTGCTGCTCTGCAAATATAAATGTAACTGCCGAAGACTCAAATGTTTTGGCCAATTTGTATTCAGTTTTTTAAGTAGATTACTCACCGAGAGAGCTACATAAGAAAAGTAAAGAGTGCAGAAGTATGTACTCTTGTTTTATATTGGTTGCTATGTGGGGGAGCTGTCACATCAATAGAACTTGAACAAAACTTGAGGAACCAATTGCCAGCTTTTGCATATACCCACCGAGAGACACCCGTGGCCTCCGCCAGTGACAGTGTGTAGTGACAGCAAAGCAACCATCTCAAAAAGATGTCTTTCTCAAATGTCTAGACTATCGAAGGTCTTTGATACAAAACACTGTTTTACTTGTTTTTCTCCCATGATTCACAACTGCAGTAACTTCATGAAACTGAAGGAAAAAACAGCACCACATGAAACGATTTTAAAAATGTGAAATATGGTCTTCAATTCAGTCCAGCACCTTGTTATTGGTCACATTCCTTTAACAGTGAAGAATCATTTGTCCGTCCATCCTTTTTACTTCTCATCCCCTGCATCAGCCACCCTTCATATTGCACCTGAGATGCCTCTCGTCCTCCCCTGTATCACACTCCACACTCTATTCTATATAATTCACTTTAGATTGCTGCACCCTCTTGTCGCCCGTAACTCTCCGCTCCTTCGGCCTGCATAACACTCAAGTGCCTTTCTCCCCAGCTTTCTCTTTCGATGTGCGTGGTCTTAGATGCTCATTCCAATCTACTTATCCCTATATCCCATGTCCTTCAAAAAAATGAATTTCCTGTGGTATTCATTTATCCAATTTCCTGTGGTGTTCATTCATCCTATATATTTCCAATATCCATCTAAATTTAGCCCATCCTGCAAAAAAAGATTTTCAATAGAATGGATCCAATGTAGTTGCCATGTAGTACATCATGTGTATGAATACACAATAAAATTGGAATGAAATAGACCATTCATACTTTTACCATAAAAAACCATAGCTACTACAGAGTATCAGGGCTCATTCTGTGGAATAGATGCGGTTTAGCTATTATATCAAGAGCAGTACCTAAGAACATTAATTAAACAGTTGACTATAACTAAATATATCTTTAATAAGCTAAGTAACATCACCAACTTTAGTCTAACCCACAAAGGCTCTTAGCTCAGTTGTTTTCTCCAACCTTGTAAACAGCCATGCATCAAAGCAAATCACCAGACGTTTCTGAATCACTAGTAAACATCTGAGATTGTGGCAGAAATTCAGAGAACTGGAACGAGTCGAAAAACAGAATCAGGGATGTGAAAGAATAGTCTCTGTGCTAGCTGCAACAACCTTCCTTTAGAAAAAGGAGCCAATAAGCAACCCAAACAATGGTGACTCTACTCTTTGTCTTTACAAGGTCAGATGGTTCTTTCCTAAGGCTAAAATCTGATTTTTAACGCTTGCAAGACGAGAAGAAGTTTATTAGCATACTACCTTAACAGTGAGGCAATTTAAAGTCAAGGCAATCCAAAAATACAGTATTAAAGACCGACATAAATAGAATGTTAAAAAGAGTAAAACAAAATAGAAGAAAAAGCTAAAATACTATCAGACAAAAGAAGTAGAATAAAAATCAGAGGGCAGTGCAAGATAAGAATAAATAGTCTAATTTAATAAAATGCAGTGGCAAACAGAAAAGATTGACACCCCTGATTTGAAAGAACTGAAAGTTGGAGCAGATCTCAAGTTTTCTGGCAGTTTGTTTCAGATAGATATAAAACTGAAAAATAACTGTTGCTTCTCCTTGTTTAGTTTTAACTCTGGGGACAGTAAACAGACCTGGTTAAATAATGGAGCAGAAGATCAGAAATGTATTTTGGCCCTAAACCATTCAGTGCTATAAACCAACAGTAAAATCAATTATTTGATTCTCTCCCTCAGGACTCTAGCAGCGTTCTGAATCAGCTGCAGCTGGCAGATCGACCTTTTAGAAAGACGTGTAAAGACAGCGATATGGTAGTCAAGCCAACTTAGGATAAAGACATGGGCAAGTTTTTCCAACTCCGGCTAAATATAATTTAATTTCTGATATATTTATAGGTGATAATATTCTCGTTAATTGTTTAATGTATATTGTTAAAACCATCTTAGTTGTTCTTCTTATTTAGGTTGAAAGAAGTTTTTGTCTTATCTTTTTGTCTTTATTTCTTTTAATGGAGAAAATGTTGGTTCTTTAACCACTAAACCAATTGTTGAACCCTATTTAAACACACTGTGCTTTTCATTTTATGCAACATACGTATGAAGAGCCTTCCTTACCTCTGCAGGCGGATTTGGTAACCACAAGAATTCCCATTCCCTACACTCTCTGCCCTCTCTGCCGCTACACGCTCTGCTACCTGAGAGGAAGCACACACACAAAATTGCCATCAAATATACACGACTGCTGCGGGAAAAGACAGACACACACAGCAACACACCATCCAACACAGTCAGACCCCAAAAACCAAAGGAGTACATACCGAGATGGCACTGATGCGGCGAGGTTGAGTGCAGACCACACGGCACAGCGAGCCCATGCCTCTGTTGATATAGTCATCAAGGATGAACTGGGTGACCTGAGTGGTCTTTCCACACCCCGTTTCTCCACTCACCACCAGGACACGGTTCGAGTTGATCAGCTTCACCAGCTCCTGAGGATGGAAAGATGGAAGCAGTTAAGAGTGAGAGGAAGAATTATGAGGAAAAAAAGGGTGATGACAGAGGATAGGAAAATTACAAACAAGTGTATGAAATCCAAAACTTACCTCTCTTTTCCCGTAGGACGGCAGTTTTTCCCTGAATTTCTGAATACAAAGAAAGAGAAGACATTTTTAAACAATGAATAAGATGTTCTATCTTAAATCGGTTTCTACATACCAAATCATCGCCTATTTAATTCTTAAAATCACAGATAGTTACAGATTATGTGTAGTGGTTTGGCAATAAATAATAATTCCTCAACATTCGCTTCGTGAAATAAATAATAATTGTAATAATTTACCATTATTTTGCACATATAAGAAATTGTGTGATAATATTCATAATATAATATATTTATTTACCATATTGCTAAACCTTATTCTGTATTTGGGTCTTGTATTAAACTGTCACAGTAGCCAACATAGGAACAAATTGTTATGTGTTAGTAATTATTGAGACACAGATGCTCTGCCCGGCCTCATTTCCAGTTGTCCTTTTGTTGTACTGTACTTCTCTCTTCATTGTTTAAGGAACCTAACATCCCCACTTAAGTCAACACTGATCATAACGACAGGAAATCGAAACAGCAATAAATGTCTGGCACTGAGGGCAATTTGATATCTGTAGGCACATTATACAGTTATTCCATTAATGATGAGTAATGAACTGTCAAAAAAATGCACCCAAGGCAGGACCCGGGTGGTAAGGCAAATTCCAGTAGGCTAGAAGCAAGTATACATAAAACTTGATACAAATCATTATGCTCACCAGCATTTCTTTGTATTTTGGGTCTGATTTCTTGCTCTGCAGATCTCTCTTTAAGCGGTCGTCCAGTGAGCTGTCTCTGACTACTTCCTGAAATAGGAACTCCACGTCCTTGTCTTTCCATCTCGGTTTCTCTTTCTCCTCCACCTGCTGTTCTTCTTCATCCCAGGTGTCTGGGGGCTCATCTTTAGCAACTGCCTCCTCCTCTTCCTCTGACTTGATCTCATGCTTCAGTTTCTCCTCTTCAGGCTCATCTCCATCAAAGAAACTGCATACACAGGCCATAAACATGTTTAATAGAGTAATTTGTGGGAAAAGAACTGACATTCCAAGCAGTCTGATCCCATCTAGCTTCTTTATTGCAAGACATAAAGTACACTGTGCCAAAAAAAGCTATGCAAAAAGTTCTTACCAATGACCACCTTTACTTGCAGGTGTCCGCCAGCTGCCAGATGTAGAGGCTCTTCCATCCCAGCCGTCTCTCGCTGGACCAGGGTGATCACTCTGGACAGAGTTAAGCAGCTTGGTAATGTGCTGCTCTCTGGCCTCATCCATCTGGACCACCGCCCGCTGCACAAGGAGGTGGAAAGGAACATTTTCAGTTGTAACCTCGCAGTTAGCAAAACCAAATGTGACACCAGGCTTTGGTTTGAAATCCATGTGACAGCTATAAACACGTTGCTTCTGTTTATGGATTTTAGTGACAGCTGATGGATCCCCGGCTCCTTTGGCAATTTGTAACTCCACAAATGAGACAAGAAAAATGATAGACAGCACCAGAGCGGAGTGTTTCTGGGGACGGGGTCTCTGATTACTGTATAAAAAGCACAAAACTATTAGAACTTTATTCACTGATTTTGGTGAAATTGGATCATATTTTATGGACAAAATATAGAAAATGAAATCAACAAATGCAGGTTTTCCAACAGTTGAATCAAAACATTCAGCAGAAGTGTGCCTATTGTTTAGATCACCGTCTACCGACTTAATGTGGCTATATGTTGGTGGTGTCTTTCAACCTATGTGCACATTGTGCAGCAATCTGTCCACAGGTCTGCATTTGCTGTGAACAATTTCCCATAAAATCAGCCCATGCTCCACACTCTCCACACTCTCCACACCCTTGAGTTCAGATGGCAGACCTACACATAGCAGAAGAGTTTAACTCAGTAAAAGAAGGAACTGTCACCTTCTTTGCTAACTTTAGTGTCTCTCACGTCTGTACTGACCTCTGACCTCCCCCCAGTTCAACTCAATGGGAGCAACACAATCCTTACCGATCTCCGGTCAGCCTGTTTCCTCCTCACGGCTCCGTATCTTGCGTACCACAGACCGATCTCACGGCCCTTCAGGTGTGGAGGAGGACGATCCCGTGGTCCTCCTCCTCCTCCTCCTCCTCCTCCTCCTCCTCCTTCTTCGTGCTGGTCGAAGTCGGAACTGTGTCCTCTCGAGCCTCCTCCTCCTCCTCCTCCTCCTCCTCTGTCCCATCTTTCTCTGCTTCCATCTCTAAACCCTCGACCTCCTCTTCTGCCTCTTCTCCCACCTCCACCTCCACCTCCATATCCATAACTCATACCGCCGTTACAAACAAACAAACAAACAAACAAACAAACGCAGCTAGAATATCCAGCTCACCGTAAAAAAACCCCGGGGGTCTTGTAGCTACTCGCTAACGCTAGCCTCGCTTATAGATGAGTTTGTGGGCCGCAGACTGACGTTTAAAGTACGAGGCCACAGCCGTGCAGCCGCTGACAGCTCCTGTGAACGCAGCAATGACGGGCACACTTTAAAAATGATACAAATGAAGTCACAAAGCAACGACAACGTTCAGACGCTGCAGTCAAAGTGCAGCGCTTACTAAGCTGTCTCGTTTTCATCCGGCATGTCGCACAGTGTCGACGTCACATTGTTAGAGATCTGTGATTGGTTGAGAGTTGGCTCCGTTAGGAACGTGATGTAGGCGTACCGTTTCAAGTTTATTATTTTATTTTTCCTTTTCCTTCATTTTCTTCTATTGTTATTGTTTTCTTATTATTATTATTGTCACACTTTTTTTTTTAATTTTGACTCCTTCTCTGTGACTTTGCCCAACAACAACAACAACAACAACAACAACAAAAAAAGGTAATATGTGTCGTATCCTTTATGGAATCCCTAAGTAATTATTTTTGCAGGCCAAGTTGAATGTCTTGTAAGGTCTGGTATATAAAGATATAATTTACTAAATTTACTCAAATGTAAATTGTTTAAATCACCTCCTGCATTTAAAGTTATTAAATATGTATTTCCTACAAACATCTTTTGTTTCTGGGGCCCCCAATTTGTTATATTTTATTTTCATATTTAATTCCTCATTCAGCATGGATTGGTGTGATGGATGCTCATATTGTTCTGATTGATTTTTTTATTCCATTGCATTGTGGTGCATGCTTTATTTCTGTACATAGTTCAACAGGCAAAAAAGAAAACAAAAAATGCCTCTGGCTTTTCATCGCCAGACTCTAACCTCTGACATTCCTCTTCACCCTTGGAACCTAATTCTGCACATGTCAATAGTTAGGCATAAGTATATTTTAAGTCCCTGAAGAAACAAGGATTGGGCAAAACACAACATCCTCCAGCTCTAATATATGCACAGACAGAGGTCTGGGCCATCAAGCAGCTCATCCTGCTTCCAGCTCAACAGAACATCAGGGAATGACCTGTTGTCTGGGCCTTAAAGGTTACAGCCAAATGAAAAAGATCCACCATGACTGCTATAGAGGGTATCACTGTAAGGGTTCTGGCTCTGCTGTATTGTGAGCATTGTGGTGAATATCAACTATCGGCCGATTCAAAGCATTTACCTAACATTTAGAAATAAAAGTCTGCAGTTTTTAATTCAAATTCTGTTCTAAAACATCCAATCAAGTTTAGACACAATAGTAATCTATCACCCACTAACTGAAAAATACTAGATTAATTAGTAACAGTAAAACACTGCTTTGTGAGACAGGTAAGAGATTCTTTTCATTCAATAACTGGTCCTGCTTTGTTCTTATTTCTGAATTATGTGATGGTTTCCAATTACTCTGTTTTCTCATTTCTGTTCTTCACCCTTCACTGATTCTGTTTTGTTTTGGAATGTTCACACTTACATCAAATGTCTAATTGGATTGTACTCAACATGCTTTTGTTTTAAATTAGCTGGAATATCGTATGCGAAAAATATGTGTTGGTTCCTCTTCTCTCTCTGCCCCCCCTTTTTTTTTTATATGTCTTACAAAATAAAAGCAATATACTCCCAACTCGTGCCACGAAGCACATGGCAGAGTCAAGACAATAGAAAGAGAGATGAAAGGTGTGAGGGAGTCATTCATGGGGTTTTTGCATGATACTCAGGAGAGGTTGTAGAGTATGGATCCCACCCTCAAGCTCTGTGTCTCTGTCATGAAATGTCACGCATCAGCACTTTTAAATGAACCTCTTCTATCCACACACGCTCCTGCTCTGTCCACATCACAGCAATCATACACTTGAGGAGGTGATATGTTTCATTTTACAAACTGTGAAATGAAAATCTGTGCAGCGTGTCCACATTGATGGTGCATCAGCCATTTTGTAATTAAGGAAATGCAGCTGTCCATAAAGACAACCTAACAGATACAGTAAAAGATTGAAACAAATTCCAGTGGTCGTGGAACTATTCAGATCCTTTAAAGTAAAAGTACCAATACCACACTGGGAAAATATTAATATATAGGGTGGAGTCAGCTAAAATGGGCCAGATAACCAATCTTGCATTGTTTCTACAACACTAATTGACCTGTAACAATAGTTTTGAATGGTCTGAGTTTGCTAAGGTGGGAGGGGCAGAGTGTTACATGAAGTATGTTAGAGAAATCCTATGTTAACTGAGCATGGAGAAGCAAATTTCACTCATCACTATTAAGGGTGATGAAGCAATTACAAGTCATCTTACCAACAAAGCAAATCGTTTATGAACAATGTTTTGACAGGCTTTGTTGCAATTTGTTTGCAAACGTCAAAATTTAAAACTTTGATTTTTGTGAAAAAATTTCATTAAAATAAAATTGGCCACAATGTTCAGCTAAAATGGGCCACATACACACACATACAGACACTGTTACACAGAGTCTACACAAAATTGACGATGCAAAACAGGTTCATAGGACACGTATAAATCCATACAAAACAACAAATGTTTTTTTTAATTATGTGCTGCAGAGAGTATATGTTATTAACATTTCCTTGTCAGGTCTTGTTACGTCTTGTCCTGTGTCCCTTTAAAACACAATCTTACCATCTGCATCACAGATGCCATTATCCTCTCCACAGTTCTTGCAGTACCATGAATTGTACCCAGAGCAGCACACCCTGTCGCCGTGGCCTTTTTGCTGTTTTTTTTTTATAAAAGATGTTCTCATTTTTCATCAAATGTTTGACAAATGTTTGACACATGCATGCACCGACACACATAGCTACAGTCCCACAAACACACGCAAAACAGACACAGAGACACCCATGCAACATCCCTGTACCATCAGTACAGATCAGAAACATACTCATTCTGCAGAGAAATGGTTCCTGTCAGTGTTATTATATATTGGGTTTTTTTGCATTAAAATGACTGCTGCGTTAATGTGTATGTTACATTTTACTACTGTAGATGTTTATGGTTGTGCTCATTTTAACTACTTTATACTGACAGCTACAGCAGTGGATAATATTCTATTATCATATGCTATTCTGGTGCTCAGAAAAACAGTTTTCAGCTTTGTGATGATGAATTTTCCAGCTCATCCATGAGGGTTATAAATAGTTTATTTATCTTAAGAAGTAGGAGACTTTTCTATAAAGGACTCCTTCAGTTTATCAGAAAAAAATCAAATATAAAATCACCAAAGTTGAAAAGTAACTAGTGACTGTAAAACGTACAATATTTGACTCTAAAATATAGTGGAGTAGAAGATTAAAGTTGCATGAAATAGAAATACAAGTCTTTGTATTCTCAAGTATGATACTTGAGTAAATGAATTTCATAGCATTCCACCACTGGGAAATGTATTAATCTGGATGAAAAGAATTATTGTCATGTTGTGTTGAAAGATAAGGCTAGCTTTCTCACATTAAATCCATCTCTGGTTCTGTTTTTAAAACTGTTCTATATTCAGATTTGACAGAAATGTATTCAGTCTTATCTTCAAGCAGGGCTCAGTTTGAAAAACAAGAAGAAATGAACTGTGATCAGCTAAACATTGTTTGAATTAGGAGTGCCTCACAGGATTTCGCCTCTGTTGCCATTCATTTTATCTATGTCATTATTTTAAAATATGTGAGCACTATCAATAACTCAGCAGGCAGCTCTGAAGGGAACAGGTGAGGGATTGAAAATGAACAGGAGTCAGAGAGCAAGCAATGCAGGAGAATAGTGAGGAAAGGTATAAAAAAAACATGCTGAGAATGAAGCTGAGGTGTGAGGAGAGGGAATAATGTGAGAAAGCATTTTGAGGAGGGGAGGGGTTGTGCAAACAAAAGGATATAGAAAGGATTGTTTCGTATGTTCTGAGTCCCCTCCCCCTATTCGTCTCAGTACTGTTGCGGATGTACTATTCTTCTGATGCCTTGTTTTTTCCCCCTTAGGGCTACCTGTGATGCATACAAATGATCTCTGACCTTAATGAATCATTTAACCAAGATGAAAACCCTCAGATGAAAAGCATCATGTATTAACATGACTGTGTTTACTCCTCTATTGGCTTACGGTCTCAATAATGCCTGCTGTACTCACTGATGTTACATATGTTGAAATACAAGTCTCAAGCAGTGCCACTGATACTACATTTTGATGCAGGCAGGCTTACCTGCACCGTATTGCTTCAGCATAATCAGAGGTTGTGAGTGGGAGGTGAAAGTCCTTGGATGAGAGAGAAGATAAAACGTGAGGAATAGCTGCTGGCCAAGGCCTTTGATAATTACAGTTTTTATATTATTTTACTTTTTGTTTTGCTGCCATATGCCCTTTTCTCCTGCTTTCCAACTATTTGCTTTCCAGTCTCTCTGCCTCTACTCTCCTCCCACAAAGACTAAATCTCTAAATGTCTGCACATACACACAGATAAAATACAATAAACAATTTGTGAAACCTTTCTAAAACACAAGAATATGTAACATCTTTACTTCTGATTTTATGTCAGCTCAAACACTGATAAGACCACAATAACAATATCGTACAGCTGTTGTGGATTATTCACATTACTGTCATCCTAGGGGCACAACAACCAATGATAGTGGCTAAATATCGAGGGCAGTCTCTTTAAGTAGTTAATTATTGTGCTTAATTTGCTTTTATTCTGTAGTTCAGAATCTCCTTTAAGTAGTTTGCGTGTTACCGAATCAGTCCAGATGGCTCAAGTCAATGAGTAAACATGCAAACACTTGTACAGCTAATGTGCAATTCCCAATTTCTCACAAAGAAAGCAAATAGCAGTTTATTAATCACAATAGTTTATGAGAGCGCTTGACCAGAAGCTGAACGCTAGTTTAAAAGTGAGAACAAGCAGATGATCAAATTACTTCCACTCTGTTAGGCTGCAGAGACGGAGCTGTGCTCAGCTGAAAATCTTTGGCACTATTAACAGCTGAAATGGTTGACAGTGAATACAAGTTTACATTCATTATGATTCATGTCTATACAATGTTTTTTTTTTTCAGTTTGCCCAGGAGCACTAGAAATAGAAATGCATTGCAATCCTGTTGGAGGCAATTTTCTGGTATGAATCTTTAATGACAACATTCTTTAGGAAGAAGGAACATGTCGCAGCTGATGAAGTGGGCTTGCTAAAGGACAATTCAAAAGCCTGCAAATGAAGTCCACAAAGTGCCAACCAAGTGCTGTGTTGGAAATAAAGCTGACATATAAAAGACACCATCATAAAACATACTTAAATAAATATATATTCTAAAGGTATTCTGAAATACCTATTATACTATCTTACTGCAATTGTATACACATGTACATGTAAGTGTGCATATAAGGAATGGATGTACTGATGTTATCTGTGAAAGAGAAGATGTTCAAAGTGTGACCATTCAAAAACTGAGGCTGAGTCCGCAGCAGCCTGGGTTCGATTCCAACCTGCGGCCCCTTTGCTGCATGTCACCCCCACCCCCCTCTCCCCCCTTTCCTGTCTATTTTCACCTGTCCTATCAAAATACAGGTATAAAAAGCCTTAAAAAAACAGTGCTCAAATACATAATACTATCTATGTAAATTTTATTCCAGTCCTGAATTTATGCATGTATTTGATCAAAAGTGAGAGGGCCCGGTGGCTCACTGATTGGATGGGCAGCGAACTGAGCAGGCAGCGAGATGCTCCCCCAAAGTAGTTCTGGAATGTACATTCATATGCTGCCTATACTGTAGTAAAATATGCACACTGTCACTCATTTAAATTGCACTGAATGTGCGCGGGGCAGAAAACTGCTCTGCATAAGTATCCCCTCAACCTCCTCTTCAATGATCACTTGCACTCTCCCTCAAATACCTGCCTCTCCTTTCCTTTTTCTCTCCATCTGTTTTCAGCGCCGATATTTGTCCTGGCTCAAATTTAATAGTAGCAACGTTAATTGTGTGTTAATACGTGATGGGACGCAGCAGCTGGACATGAATGAAAATACACCATAATTCAAATAAATATATGTAAAAATACATTGTATAAGGGAAACATATGAATACGTTTGGTAGCTGACGTCACAAACATATACCCTCATCTTTATGGGCAAGGCTTCTCACACACAAAAATGCACAATAACACACACCGAGATGAGTCAGACACATGGGTCAGGTGACCCCCTCCCTTCACAGCTGAGTCACCAGTGACGTAGTCTACTGGAGCAGCTTCATATCAGACATGTGACTAGACTTTGGCCCCTCCTTTTCCACGTCGAAGTGAATATCTCTCTTCCTGTATCTATTTTATGATGACAGGCTGCCATATGGTGAAAGCCTTGCAAGGAATACAGATGTTCTGCTAGAATACTGTTTCTCTCTCCTTCCCTCCCCTTCTTTTGGCTCTGTCTATCTCTCCCAATGTACTCCTATCCCTCTTCCTTTACAGACTAATCTATCTCTATGAACGCTACAGACATGATGCATGTGCTCTCATGATGCTATATGAAGAGGAAATACAAGAGTAGGCAAACAGACTATTATAACAGTCTAAATCTCTATTTGGGACAACTGTCAGTTCTATTAGAATGATAATCAGAAAGAGTAAATGTGGAATGATTAGGAAATTTTCTTCCATATTTCGCTGCCAGAAGTGCTCTCTCAACCTTCTCCTCTGAGACACCTTCTTGTGATCCTGTATGTATGTCACTCATCCGTCTCCCCAACTTGCTTTCTGTAGGCCTCATTGAGCAGCTGTATCTCCTCACGATACCCCGTACTCTCTTGCGTCTGCCGCCGGCTGTTCTGCCGGTGAGCTTCCACAGTGTCAGGTATAGTGATATTGATGGTCTCTGCCTCGGGGTTGCCTCCACTGGGGATGAGCAGAGAGTAGGAAGCCGTCTCGCCCAGGTCGCAGGAGACAAAGCGGTTCTCCCTTCGCGAGTAACGCAGTGATGGCGAGCGGGCGTGGGTGGAGGACTGGCTGATGTTGGAGATGATGGAGACGCTGTCCATGGCCTCCTCGTTGTCACAGATCTCCAGAACCTCAAGGTGGATCTTGACGTTGGTGTCCCCCACGCCGGCTCCTATACCCATGCCCATTCCGATCTCCATGCCCATCCCTACGCTGCTGACATTCACGTCTCCAGCCTGGCCTCCTGACGCTGGGTCGTCTGCGCTGGGCTCGTGGCCAACTGATTTGGAGCGATACACTTCCACCTTTGAAACAGAGGGAGATTTATTACTTATTCATAAACATGTTCTCCTACTTCCAGCCTTTTCAAGCCAAGATAGAGTAACTGTCTCCTGGCTAAGACTTTTTACCTTCTTGGCATTGTTGGGGGAGATTTTAAGTCCATCACTGCTGACCTCATAGGTGGAGAGAGAGAGGGTCTTCCCTGTGGGCGCCTGCAGAGATACGGTTCCCTGAAAGGCGCACAGGGGGATTGACAGACCACCTGATGACCGCTGCAAAACAGCAAAAAATAAAACAAAATCAGTCAACATCTAGGACAACATTTTCATTTATGTATCAACTTGGCAGGTCTTATTGCTTGAGAATACTATTATACATATTAGTTATTTCCATTATGGCTGCTCATCATGTTATTGACATGATACAAAGCCTACAGGATCTATTTGCATCTCACTCTCTTTGTTCAAACTAATTGAGCTTAGATTGTGTCCATGATGTCAAGGGCAGGGAGATGAATGTGTTGACCAACCATTTCTAACCGACGTTAATGAGGCTTACATGTAAGAGCCCTGTCAACAGCACACTGCTGACGAAATGAGATGTTGGGGCTTCGTGCGTATAAAATCGGCCAGGGACCTTTCAGGTTCACAGTAAAAAAGATGGAAGCATGATCTATAAGATATTTCGCTGTTATCAGAATGTTTTATTAACTAATTTAATCTGAATAATATAATCTCCACATCAATCAAATTTCTTCTGGGTTTCATCTCAGTTTGCCATCTTTTTTCAATTACTGGGCTCATTCATATCACTCATGTTTTTAATCATAATTCATGTTTTTCCAGTCGTATTTTTATATTGTTATCATTGAGATTAATTTACCACACAGTACATCAAAGTGAGACTCTGTCAACATGATATGTTTGAGAAAATGCATATTGCTGGCAAGGGAAAGGAGAAGCATCCTGCTATGCGACACTGGGGAGACTGTGGCAGGTCTCATTAAGCCTTCTAAATTATTTAGATTAGTTCAATGTAATGATCTGATTGTGAATATGACGCACAATAGAAACAAAGAGGATGTCAATCTCTTGTCCTCCCTGACTCTGTCTGTTTTCCTGTCATTGTCTTTGCATCATTGTGAGTAGAGATAGACTCAGAGGGAGAGAGAGAGACTGAGATGTTGAGCTGAAAACACATTGTCAAGTAATTCAAATAAGGCTCAGAAGCCATCAATGTGGGAAGTACACTGATGGATGAGTGTGTGTATCTCCTGTGACTTACTTGTCTTTATTACATTATTATTATTACATTAAAACGATGGGAAAATTGGCTGAATTGTAAAATCTAGATTTAAACTATGTATTTTATAATGGGGGGATATACAGCTTATGACTTAAAATAAGCAAACTCCCCAAGTACTTATCTACACAGAATATGTGGAATAATTTTCCCATAATACCCCATGTGAGAAGAAGGGCACCAACGATAAGACATTATATAATGTGGCATTTCACATTCCCAAATATATGGTGTCGTTCGTAGTTTGTTTTTAAGAAAAAATTATATTTTGAGGCCACATCACTCAGCCCTACTTGCAGTGTCACTAAATGATTTTGATGTACAGTATATAAACCTGTATGACATAAATGCAAACATCTACATTGTGCATTGCTTTTACAACAGTATATTGGCATCATGGCTCTATAAAGTTTGCATTGCACTGCCATGAAATGTTATAGACATTTGTGTTCTCAAAGCCTGAATCCTACTGATTTGTATACCTGCAAAACTGATGACATTTCTGTCAGCCTCAGCTATACTTTATGTTCAGTGCTAATTACCAAATGCTAGCAGTCTAACAAACTAAACAAAGATGGTGAACATGCAAAATTTGTGTCATATATCATATACCACCTATTTTATATAAGCAACAGCACTGTAAGGCATCTGTTATGGATGCCTTTAGTTCCTGACACATTTGCAGTATATTGATTCTAGTTGTTGTTTTCTTGTCCATTCAGAATCAATTGATTTTTCATTCTCCACCTGGTAGCCATATTGGTAAGAACAACATTTATTTACAGTTTCAGGAGGGTGAATGTGTTTTAGTTCCCTACATCTGAATGCACATTAGATCTCAATTTCCCCTCAGGGAGAAGGCTTGTGAACTCGCCTCCAGCTTTGTGCTTGCTAACAGAGAGTATAAAGTCACAGAGAGGGTAAAGATGTCTTTAAGCTCTAATTCCACCGTTCCCTGTGGATGTTGAAGGCCAGAAGGGCTGACAGTAAGGAGGACACACACTGGGTAATGACATCTAGCCTGCTAACGAGGAACAAAACACTGCCAGGAAATGCTATTAATCACAAATGATTTACACTTGGCTTTCTTCTGTTGTTTGGCTTTGTGTGTATATACAGTATGTACTATACATATGTTTATGTATATGAGCTAATTTTGATCTTTATGTCTTACTGTGTACTGCATGTGACTGCACATGCATACTGTTATTGAACTTTGTGTACTTTTATATACTGACCCCAATCAATGAATAGAGCCTAAGGAAGCATAATATACAGAGTTTGCTACTAAGAAACTGAGAAGTAGGACACACACACACACACACACACACACACACACACACACACACACAGAGAGAGACACAAACACACATATACACAAGCCAGCAGTGAGCATCTCAGACTTATACATGATGCAAAGTGAGGGCCAAAGCCAAGCTGTAGATGCATGCTCCATGGATTTTCCACCCTCTGGTGATTTTCAAACCAAAACATTTCAGACTCATAAGTAGAGCAGAGACAGAGAGGAAGAGAGAAAGAGATGTGTGTGTGCATGTGCTTGGGTGTGCGCGCACATGTATGCACACATGCTTCTGCATCTGTTAATGTCTCAGTTGTGAGTTTTAAAACAAGCTCATAGTGTTATCGCTCTAAAAGTCACATTTACTGTGCTGTCAGTTTCAACGGTGACGCCTCTGGCTGAGGCTGTCCTCTCATCTATGCCTGGAATCTCTAAGGCAGGGGATACATTAATCATTAAGCCTTTACTGTTTTGTCCTTGTTTAACAATTCAATTGAGTCCAACTTGGTATTACAAGAGCACAGGATGTCAACAACAAAGAAAGAAATGGATTAAAAATGGATTAGTGGACAGTGGTTTATGTGCCTGTAGCAAACTGTCTTGAGTTGCATTGTTTAGTGCTCTTTGACTTTGCATCTACTGGATAGAGAAACTATCGAGTTTCTGAGCAAACAATAAAAGTAGAACTTCTTATCTTGGCAGACAGACAATGCTGCGCTGTAGACACTGTATGTCTATGATTGGACTTGAACTAAAACTATGATTTAAAATGGATTTTGCTGAATACCAAACCACAGCTATCCAAAACCAAAACATTCAGCACATATACAGCAGCTAACCTTCAGTGGATAAATCTCATTAATACTGGTCTTGAAACTTTGAACAGTGCCTTTAAAACACCAAAAACCACAAAACTAAATCAATGAATGGAGCTGAGCCTTGAGAGCTGCTCTGATTTTAGAGGGTCTGAGTAGCAGCAGTGAATGAATATTTGGTTTTGAAAGACAGGCTGACATTTGTTACTTAAATGATATGCTGCTGATAGTATCTTGATCAATTGCTCTATTAATCTCAATCCATCCAGGCTGAGGGCAAATAAAGATATGCAGAGAGAGTAGAGGAGAGGGGATTTTAACCATTTTATCTAAATCACATGCACAGCTCCTAGTCTGTCAACTTGATTATAAAGAGGCATTTTCACGGATGTGGAAAAAAAGACACAAACAGAAAGTCACTCAGACAGTCATAAAATGCACAAATATGCACACACTTCTTTCAAGCCTGGTTATGTAAAGACTGCATCCTAGTCTACCAGCTGTGTCTCTGTATCTCGGTACAGGTGCACTGCAATAAGAGAGCAGTTAATTTCCTTTTGAACAAAATGTAAACACAGAAAGGGAGATTGAAAATCCATCCATTTTATGGTCCTGAGACACTAATCACTGCTAAACGATCATCTTTACGGCATATCACCATATGCTGCATGCAAATGCAGCAGTTGTTTGACTAGTTACGCAACAGAGTGTGAGTGTGGAAAATCAATTAATGCCAGCCATAAACCGCAGAATGATACAACAGATACAAATGACTTAATTTGATGTTTCAAGATCAGGCTAATAAACGGACAACTCTGGACAGTGGTGTACCTGTCTGGGTGTCCTCTCTGATTTGCTCCTGCACCACTCCCAGTCTGTCAACTCGATCTTCCGACACTCCTCATGCGACAGCCTCCTCTCTGTCCCCTCGAACACCGACGATGTGTCAGTGAGATTGTGGTCCTGCTCCCGGTGATGAGAGGGCAGCGAGGGTACGCAGCGGAAGTCACCATCATCTCCGTGGTTCTCATGAGGGAGAGAAGGACCATCAGCCAGTGCCTCTCCTCCACCGGCCACTGCTTCCAACATAAGGTCTGCATGAGAGGAACTGTCCACAGGGCAGGTGGTACTGAAATCAAAACTTGGGCCCAGGCTGGAGAACCCGCCACTTTCTAGTGCATCAAGGCGGGTGCTAGGGAAGTCGCAGTTAAAGAGGCTGTGATAGGCAGGCTTCTCAAGGGGCAGACTGTTATGAGACATCGTGGCGTGTGACAACTTGTACACTCCATAGCCTTGTTGGAAGGAAAGGTTGAACTCAAATCTTCTTTTCATTACTGTGAACAAAGTAATTGAGAGTAACTGTATTACACCTTATGCCAAAAAAGACAAAAGTATGCCCAATATTGCATTGGGGAACTTGTTCAGGGGTTCATTATGTAGAACACTTCATGGTGCACTGTTGGTAAATTTGTATAAAGTGATGGTTTACCTGAGGGTTCCTGCATTGGATCCCGTTTGCAGTTAATGAAGCAGCCACACGGCATGTGGATCCAGCGCTCAGACAGCACGAATAACGGAGTGACCGCAGGTGCGAGCAGAGTGAGAAAGAAGCTCAAAGTCTCCAGGGATGAGCTGCGTGCATTCAGTGCGTGGCGCACCAGCACCAAAGTCTGTGAATGAAGGGGAAGGGGAAATTAATTCACTGAGGAGTCAGTCATTCAATATGCATGAGGAAGTGGGGGGAGGACTCGAGGGAGACACATGAATGGAAAGAAATTACAAAGATCCCTCACCCATACTGGGCTGTTTTGCTTTTCATTTTCTTTTGTTTTGTTATTCAAACATGTCAGTTTGGTAGTTTGAGGCAAAACACAGCATGCTGCCTATGGGTATACTAAATTAAAAATATTAGAAATATTAAACATTAAAATTAGAAATGACTAGCCATTAGCCATTGTGGCCCAGCAACAGGTTCAACATTGTGCTGATATTGACCTCTACAGCTTTCTAGAAAATGATTAATGCAAACACAGATACATAAGATAAATATCTACAGAGAAACTATCTTAGGCAAGACATGTTTAGACTTGTTTGTATCTTACTAAAAAAAAAGAAAAAATCCCACCCACAGAAAGAAAAACTCATTGTGAATTGTTAGTTGTATTTGTCTTATTTCTGGTCGGTGACATTTTGGCATTTTCTGTTTTAATCACATCCAGTGCTTTTGCTCATTTTCAGTGTTGCAAGTTTTGAATGTCAATTCTGTTTCATTGTCAGCTCAGCTGGCTGCACAGCATTTATCACCTAAAATTCCTTTTTTTTTTGTTTGAACAAGAACAAATGTTCTAACAGCAGCACTCACTGTGTGGCAACCATGTACAGAATTTTACAATGCAACACAATGAATGCTGCCCTTTAGGTGTTGACTAAAACCTGCCAACTACTGTTCTCAAGGCCTTTAGGGAATGTTGGGACTGGCTGCGACTAAACAATTGCTTTTTAAAAAGAAATATCGATGTTCAACCACCAAGATGCAATGTCTAAATGGTTTCAAAACTGTAACGATAATAGATAATTAATCGATTGAACATAAAAAATACTGCAGTGGTTCCCAGCTTCAAGGGACATTCGGTGTTTCTTAATGGCTATAAATGTTTGTTTTTTTTCATAACAGGAAACTATTTTATGAGAATAATACACTTCTATTCTGACTTAAGATTCCACATTCTCCCATTTTCACATAATAAACTCTTGCAGCTCATAGCCTATACACAAAATACAACACAAATGGTGGTTTAATTTAGCAATCTTGTGCTACATCAGAGGCCCACACATGAGTTTCTAACTGACTGTTTGACATCCAGTTGTTTCCCCCATAAAATGATATCTTATTTGTCTTATTTTCCTTGAAATAGGAGATGTTTTCCAATATAATGAGACAGTTCCAGGTGTTTGGATCGTGCATTCAGGAATATTCTATAATCATCGGTCATTGCACCATAGGCCATATCATTCCAACTAAATGCATTAAAACAAATCCAACATTAAACGAAGTTGGAAATAAGCACAAACATAACTCTGTTCGTAGATTTTCCGAAAAAAAGTTAATAATTTCAAGCCTATTACAGTAAGTGGTTTGGCAAGGGATTCTCTAAACGTTATTATGTTGTTTAATTTGGCTTCAACTACTGTAGCATTTACTTGTATCACGCTGCTTACCATCATTGGCATCCATAAAATAACTCGGACAACCGCCAGGATCATGGAGAAGCGCTTTTGTGCGAACACCACTGGTGTGTCCTCGACAGCAGCTGTCCTCTGTCCGTTGACAGACACTGGGGACAGACAGCTGTCCTCTTTCTCCCTGAGCTCTGTCCCACATGAACTTGGGCTCAGCTCGTTGTAGGCACCGAAACTTTTGTTCAGGCTGTCCCGGGAAAATGACTGGAGATCACAGAGGGGAGCGGAGCCACTCAGTCCCCTCGCCATCTCCAAATAGCTTGGGTACATTAAAGTCCTCTGGGGCTCTCTGGAGCACAGCAGCTGGTAGGTGAGGGGGACAAAGAAAAACAACAAGCCGCAGAAACACAGGGAATATAAGGAGAAAAGCAGCAGGATGTAAAAGCTGTCGATCTCTGGGAAACACCCGAGAGAAGCCGGCGTAAAGCTGCCCCATCCGCACAAAGGTAACACACTGACGGCCAGACTGACCGCCCACACACCGGCAATGGCCCACATCACTCTCAGGGGCCGGCGGACAGACTGGAGCACTCCAAATCTCTTGGTGACATAAAAAGTGTAGGCTGCTATAAGGCAAGCCTTCATATTGCTTGAAACACCCTGGAACACGTACAGAAGTCCGGATAAAGTACACAGACTGGCCGACCCTCCACCTCCATCCGTCTCCCACTGTAGGAGCATGAACAAGGAGAGAGGGACCACACTGAGAAGGTCGTCCACCGACATGGAAGCCACAATGAGACACAGGGAGGTTTTTCTCCTCATCCGGAGGAGAGACAGCAGAGAATACACACCTCCGACAAAGGTTGCAGCCGCGATGGTTACGCACAAGCCGAAAAGCAGCAGGCGGATTTGCCTCTCCACCCCCGCGGGGTCTGAATTCTCGTAGGTGGCCGTGGAAAGGTAGCTCTGGTTGGGCGCCGGGGAGCTGAGGTGCGTCGTGGACATTTTCAGTGAATTAACTTCTCCGTCTCTTTTGGCACTTTTAACTGGTCAAAGCTGACTCATTAGCCTGTAAAGTTTACCGCGCTGGAAAAAATGTGCCAAACATCTACACAAAAAAAATTATCAGTCAGTGGAGAGGATGAGAGAGACACAGGGCAACATCCTTTCTCCGGTCCAAGTGGGAGCGCACGCGTAACCGAAGCCTTCCGGTCCCTTGGATGTGGAGTCTCCGGGTACCGTGCGGGCAACCGCTTGTGTTCACCGTTCAAACCGCGCAACCGGAGCACCTCCCGGTTCCAGCTGCCGATTTACGCGCTGTCGTCATCATCGTTTCCTGTCACGGTAGCAGTTCGGGTTGGGCCAAACGCAGCCTGGTCCGATGCATCAGGTTGCGTATTCATTTGTGGCTTGGCTCGACCCTTCCTTAGGTCATGCCAAACATTAACACCCCCCTCGCCCCCCCACATCCCCCACCCTTTTTCCCACTGCCCCCGCCCCTCCCCCCACCCCTCTCTGACTGAGGGACAGTTAACCACAACTGAATACAAATGATTTTTCCTGCAAATGCAGATTTGCGTTTGTGTGTAAGGGGCCCATCACTTTGCGGTTAATTTCATTTGGAAGCCAAAATAACCACCCACAGACAGACTGTGTCTGTGAGAGGAAGTTTCAGCAGATTGGCTTTCATTGTTCAATTTTCAAAGCCTTTTTGACTTAATGGAGTCAGAAAACTAAATGCCAGGCCTAAAATAATAAGGGAAACATAAATTAGATAAGGTTTGAGTGGTATCTTGTGACCCTGTAGGCTGGATGCTCTCTGAGCCAGACTGAAAACAGAGTAAGGCCAGTTTACTGTAAGTGCATGGCGTCTCTTTGTATTTAGTCCTGTGTGCCATACTACTGTCAGAGCGGAGCAGCCCCTACGAGACATTAGGGCAGAGGACACATTCAAGGTAATGAAGTACTTACAAGTCAGAAAGTTATTCTGCTGGACTGGACACTGTGTTGTAAGAAAACATAATCATTTTTGTCACCAGAGGCATGCACTTTAAATGATCATTTAATGAATGATTAAGTTGTAATTAAAACAGTCTGATCGTTTTATTAGATACAACATTAAAGCAGGTTCTAGGGACAACATTGGCAGATGCAACCAGCTCGAAAAAAACTTCAATCAAACAGTATTTGACCCTGTGGCTGGACAGAGGCAGATTAGTTTGTGTGCAAGTGGAGCCTGTATGTGTGTCCATGTCTTTATCTGTGCGTAAATCCTATACCCTGGTGTGGAATTGGCCTTGTCTCGTCCTTCCCTGTGGTGTTCAAGGATTTTCAGGCTGAAGGACTCCACAGTTTGTTTAGATGGTTCATGGGAGTTCATTGATCCCATACATAATACTACATAGTGCTCTGTTTATCACTGGTAATAGATGTTGGGACTCATGCTCTTTAAATGAAAACAAGGATCTGCATAATGACATGATGACAGCATGCTTATTTATCTATCCCCCCCCCCAAACCCTTCATGTTCTCACTTACTGTATGATATCACTATATGGTATCAATGGATGCTCAGCTCTTTCAGCCTTGTGTAGCATATGCAAACATGACTGTAAGTGCATCTGACTTTAGCTCTTGCAATTGAATTAGAGTTTGGACTAAGTGACTTACAGCTTGTCTAATGACTAGACTCTCTCCGGGGGCCATGAGGACACAGAGAGGGACATATAAGAGGACAAAACACAATCCACAAGGGTGCATAGACCCAACACACACACACAGACACACAGATACACCAGCTGAGCTCAGCGTCACACATCAAGGTGACCTACTTTGTGTGTGCGTACTGCATGCAATGGTTTGTTCATATGTGCATGTGAAACAGCACCAGGTGAGAGTGCAGCTCCGTGAAGGTTTGTGCATTGGCAAGGAATACTGTAAGTGTAATGAAACAGGATCTGTTTGAAAATATCACAAGCTAACATTCTGTCAAAATACATCCCATCATCTTTTCATGGAGGAAAGACTGAAAATACATTTTATATCAAGGTAGAAGAGATGGAAATGGAAGAGACCCAAAATCACTGAAAGAATATGAAAAATTAGGTAAGCATAAGTTATTAAAATCCTCATGTCACTGTAGATGTACCCTGTCAAAACAAAACACATCTAACTAAATGTCTTATATTTCTTGTAGTATAAACAGTGAAGCAGATTGAGCAAGACCTGTAATTATTACATAAAATATGCATTTAATTTTCTTACAGTTATGGAAAATTTGCCAAAGCTGCTATCGTTATCCATAGCTGTGAGCCAAATGCAGAAATTAAGAGACGAGACCTGTCCTATTTAAACAGAAAACATTCAGACATTGATCACATTTCAACAGCAGAATCCCAAACAGAGGCACTGCAGCATGATGTTCTAGCTGTAATATTCACATTCTACAGTGTAAAATTAGATCAGAGAAATATATTCTGTATATATTCAGTCTGTCTGTCTGCAGACTGACACACATCCAGATGTTTCAGCCTGCTGATACATGGTGCTCTAACAATAAACAGTGTTTACCCTGTGCAAAATTGCACTAACATCATTTTACATTCCTTTTAGATTGTGGGGTGCTTTGTAGAAAGCTATGGTACATTAAATCTGTGAAATGAGGCCCGTTATGATGACCGATATTGTTCTTCTGTTACAAAGGTGTTTACTAAAACCTGACATTTTCATCACAGTGTCTACTTTCATTGCTGTGTCTACTTCAATAAACATTTAATGGACTCTCACGAAGCCAAATGGAATTATAGTCAAACTAATGATGCAGGAGTTTGATTTGAGAATAACAGCCATCTTACAACATCTAATAAATCATTCATCCGTAATATTGGCTTGTAAATGAAAATTAAACCATGGGAATGCTATGAAGTAAATCCTCATTGTGTCTCTGCAGCAATTCATCTGGACCATGAAATGGAAGCAGCTAATCAATGATAGATGACTGTAATATGTTGTATAAATACCCTTCGAGAACATTAATAATGTACTGTGTTGTACATATGCTCATATAGCCAGATACATGTTTGTACAAATCACACTGCTTACTGGCCTCTGGTGGTGTATCCCATATTCAGCACATCACAGTTTGTAACTTTAAATAAACGGTAGAACTGCTGGAGTATCTCCCACCCCTCCTCTAACTCTTTTTCTCCCATCAAACACGAATCCACCCACACCTGCACGAACACACTCACAAAAACACACACTACACACAGAGACTAAGTGCATCATTATCCTAAGTCACATCAAATATTAATGAAGCAGCACTTGACACAGAGATACAGAGACAGACGCAGAATGGAAGATTATATTTGCATATAAGAGAGAAGTAAAACTGAATGGGGAAAGGTGGAGGAATAGTTAGTGCCATGAATTCATAATGACTCAACCCGTGGCTCTCTGCTGAGGTGCTCTTTGGAGGTGCAGCAAAATATAGACAGCACATCTTCCAGTTGTTAAATTGCTGAAAAAGTTATCTCTTATAGTGCTGAAATGACAGAAAATCACCACTTCACCCTATTGTGGTTGAATCTCATCTCAACCCTCTTACCTTTATTCTTTATTGCTGATATTTTTTGTGTGTATGTAAAGCATTTTGTAAATATTGTTTAAAAAGTGCTATACAAAGAAAGGAGTTGGCAGAGACCAAAACAGAGCTGAAAAGAGAGTGAATATTGGACTTAAATTCATATGGTGAACATAAAAATCACAATGGTGCCTCTGGGTCTGCTGGATGTGAAAGGAAGCAGCTGTTTGTAAAAGCATCAGTCATACCAACTTTATCTGTAAGCCATTGATATGTGGCTGTGTGTCTGAGATGCAAGATGTTTTCTGCCCCCTAGTGGCCGAGCGTTGATCCATGCAGCTTCAAGTTGCTATATTTTCTCTCAGGGACAGGGACTGTATATTGTGTTGTATGTGTTATTGTGTCTATATTTGGTCTGTGTTAGGCTATATAGCTTATTGTATGTTCTGAGAAACATAAACAAGCGACTTAAATTACTCTTTGCAGTGTGTCAATTTCTTAAAGGTTCTTGCAGGACGTTTTCAAATATTATGTGCATAAAGTATGTATAAACAGTTCTGTAAATGAAAATTCAGGCAAATAACAATGATCTCCCACTAAACAGGCAGTTCAAGATTGATGCAATGATTAGCACTCATATTTAGAGGTATTACTTTGACTTTTATTGCCTTTATTTGATATAGACAGTGGAGATAAAAGCAGGACATGCAATGGGGGAGGTGAGACATGCAACATAGGTCTCTGCCAGAAGTCCAATGGGAATGCTGCAGTCAGATGCATCTAACTAACTGAGCCACCAGGACACCCTTGTGTTACAGGATTAATATTTCCAATAAATAAGTATTAAAATCTGTAAAAAATCAGACATAAATAAAAACATTTATTTCAACAGATGTACATACAAATTCTGAATCCATAATTCAAATTTGGTCATACATTTGGGTGTGAATACTTCAATGCACAGGCGTGTGTGGCCACAAATGTGTACAAGTATGCCTGCACCTGTTACTAACTGATGATGTCTGTAAAAGTGTGTGTGTGTGTGTGTGTGTGTGTGTGAGTAGACACACAACAGTGTGCACATCAAGAACTGTTATCTATAATACATAGGGCAGAGTGGTTGAAGGCCATACCTTTGAGCATATTTTCCTTACCTACTTATGTTTTTATTATATAATGATGATAGAGTAGAATAAAAACAGCATTTTGCAGAAAAACTCAACGAAATTACAATATGTTGCATGTAAGAATTTGTTTCTTTGTGTGTGTGTGTGTGTGTGTGTGTGTGTGTGTGTGTGTGTGTGTGTGTGTGGTATTCTGAGCCAAACCAAGTTGATTATCGGAAAGTCATGTCAGACCACGTATAATTCACAGCACCTGTTTCCACGGAAACACTGACTAGAGTTTGTGGTCATACACAAACACCTTTTGCCTTCCATTCTCTTTCTCTCTCTCTCACACAATAATACTTACACATAATAAGGTTCAGTTTGAATATTTATTTTATATCTTTTTCAAAAGAGCTTCAAAAGTGACTAATGCTGTACTATGAGAGGGTTCAGAGAAGGTGGCATCCTCATCTGTGGACCAAGCTGCATCACACATCCCTACTGGTAACGAGGATATTTCTGTGAAATGAGGAAGACAGTACCCACGGAAACAACCATAAAATTTTTTCCTCCCATAAATTGTTGTATGCAAATTTGACTGTGGTGAAGTTATAACAGGTAACACTATAAGTAAGGAACGACATCTCTGCAAGTTTTTCAAAGTTTTTCGAAGAGATTTAGTTTCGTGTGGAGTTAAGC